CTTCATAAAAGTAATGTAAACATTTTGAGCTTCTGTCTAAAGAAAATGCTATATAATTTTATTTCCCACTTTTTTAAATATACTTTTTAAAATATACTTCCTTGAGACACATTCTGCATATAATGCAACCTACTCACTGTGGGTATACAAATTCAATGATTTTTACTAACTTTAACCAGTGTTTCAACCAACCAACATCATGTATCAGTTTTAGAACATTTTCCTCCTCCCAATAAGATCACTCATAGTCCATTTACGACGCACCACCCTAGGCAACCACTATGTTTTGCCTCTATAAATTTGCCTTTTCTGGACACTTTACAAAAATGGAATCATACAGTATGTGACTTGATGTATGGCTTCTTACACTTCACTTAATGGTTGTAAAGTCCATTCATGTTTTAACATGTGTTAGCAGTTTATCTTTACTATTGCTGAAGAATATCCATTGCATGGACCAATTTTGTTTATATTTGTTTCCATTTTTTGGTTATTGTGAATAATGCTGCTATAAACTATCATGTTCAGATCTTTGTGTGGACATTTATTCAGGTCTCAGGTAGATACCTGAAAAGTGGAATTACTGTCTTGTGATAATTTTGTGTTTAACTTTTTAAGAAATCTACAAACTGTTGACTGTACATTTTACCTTCCCACCAGCAATGCACAATGGTTCCAATTTCTTTACATGAGTTCTCTGAACATTTTGGATATGTATCCAAATTGTTTTTGCAAATATTTTCAAATTCCCTGTTGCTTGTCTTTTATTTTCTTATTTTGAAGTACAGAAGTTTTGAACTTTGATAAGGTCCAATTTAACTTTTTTTCTTCATAGAACACACTTTTGGTGTTGGAAATAAGAAAACTTTGACTAATCCAAGGTCTCAACAGATTTTTCTTTTTTTTCCTAAAAATTTTATTGTTTTGGTTCTTGCATTTAAGTCTGAGATCAATTTTAAGTAAATTTTTGTGAATAGTGTGAAGTAAAGGTTTTAGTTCACCTTTCTGTATGCGGATGGATATGAATCCAGGTTGTCCCAGAATCATTTGAGAACAGACTACCTTTTCTCCAGTGAATCGCTTTGGCACCTTGGCTGAAAATGAATGGACTATAAGCAAGGTTTTACTTCTGGTTCTTAACTCTAATCAATTGATCCACATGCATCTACTCTTGTGCCAGGACAACAATGTCTTAGTAACTAGTTTTATCATTTTGAAATTGAGAAGAAAAAGTCCTCCAAATTTTCTTTTTTAAATGTTTTGGTACTTCCTCC